TCTGCAAAGGGAAAACCATCAAGCCCACCATAGGGCAAAAAGGCTCCTTCGGAAAAGACCATGGCCGATCAGCTACCACACGGGCAAACAGATGTTGCCACGAGACGGCTCGAGCCAGAACATCTGCGTATGAAATGGACTCCCCCTTCCGGCCCAAGAGGGTGAGATTTCCCACAAAGCCCAGACGGCGCCCAAGGCAGCACCCAAGGCAGCACCCGTGGCCAAGGCAGCACCCAAGGCAGCACCCGGTGGTTTCGCAAGACGTATCCGAGCTACGACCTGCAGCCGCTGCTGCTGAAGCGCCAGCGAGAGCTGGAGGAGGCGCGGGCCTTCAATAATTGGCTCGGGGAACGCCGGCTAGCCCAAGAGGGGCAGCGGCACCTGGACGACGTGAGCCGGCTGACGGAGGCAGTGCACCGCCAGGTACCCCAGCTGCGCTACGCGCGCGCCGAGCGCAGGGGCGTCGAACGCGCAGCGGGCGAAGTTGCCGCGCAGTAACCCTTAAAGAGATGAAGACGCTTCGGGCCCACGGCTTCAGCCAGCGCCCGCGCTTCGAGCAGGTGGTGGGCTACCTGGAGCGGAATGAGCCGCTGCCCCTGGACCAGCCGGACCGCAAGGCCACCACGTTCATCACGAGCCACTTCTACTTGGACGACTTCGTGCAGTCCAGCGAGGACCCCAACCCGCAGCCTCTGCAGCACACGCCCCTGAGGGCGATTCCAGAGGAAGGCTTCCGCACTCCCGCAGAGGCCACGGACGAGGACTTGGCCCGGATGCGCCAAGGCGGAGGAAACCGCTTCGGCGAGGACGACCTGGCTGGAGACCCAGAGGCCGACGCGCTGACGAACAACGGTCAGGGCCCGCCCTCCATCACGGGCCGTTTGCGCAGCGCGGCCGACGGAGCGCAGGCAGCAGCGGACCTTGTGGGCGCAGGAGCAGCAGGGCTCGCGGCGGTGCAGGCCTTCCGCTCCCAGCTCCCCCAGGACGCAGCCGAGTACGTCCGCATGAACGTATTGCCCCGCCCAGGGCCGCAGCCGCAGCCGCCGCCGCAGATCATCGAGTCTAAAAATAGCCCCGGGGCTAATTTAGTCCAAAATAAGGATTTAGACTCGGGCGGGGCTGAATTTTCGAGGCTAAATTTAGTCTCGCAACGGGGCTAATTTAGTCCCGAGGCTAAAATTAGCCCCGGGACTAATTAGTTCATTTAGTCCCGGGGCTAATTTTTGTGGCATGCAAAAATGAAGCATTTTCATAGTGAAATTTGAAGGAATGTGTTGGCTGTTTTGATGGGAAAGTTGCATCTTATTGCGAAAATGGAGGCGCAAACGCTAGAAGGCAGATGCTGAAAACGCAGCAATGCCGTTTTGGCAATAAGATTCTAATTGAGAGCGAGCAGAGGTGAGCCATTATTCAGTTCTTCTTGCCTCAAATCCAGAAATATGTTTTGTCTAGAAATGAAAAGCTTTGATTGAGAGGTAATTGACAAATATTCTTTCCGCTGCCCACGAGGTCCGTAAGATTTAGTCGTGATAACAGCAAATAATGGATCTTAGAATGAAGAAGTCATGGATAGTTCGTTAGTTCCCTTTATCTTGGTTATATTCTGGTATTTTTGGATGGCCTTTATCTTCCTATCTTAATTTGTATTTGCTATCATTTTCTTTCATTTTCATCTCACGCGGCACTGCAATTTGCTCAGCGTTTGCAAGCAAAGATTGGTCAGCTGAACAAAAGACATTTTTGTTTCACGCACGACTCGCGACCTTCAAGCGCACACCTTCAAATAGAATGTTCATAAGAGGAACCTTCACGCACAACTCTCAAGCACAGCCCTACCACGATACTCGTGCCGCCTATAGCCACTATGCAAAACTTACAAGTCCAGGTCTTGACTCTCAGCAGCAACTCTCTGGCAGAGTTGCCAAGCTACTCAGCACCAAGCTTGTCGTTCAGCTAGCCTGGCCAACCTTTCAAGCAGGACTCTCCAACAAACTCCACAGCGCTCATGTTTTGCTGTTCTAAAAGGTTTCGCGCAGACTGCGGACCAAGACATGCATGGCCAGCCTGTATTTGTCAGCCGCTTTGATCGATGCAGCAATGTCACTTCGCCCCCTCACGCAGGACCCAAGCAACCGGCTGGCAGCGCCCATAAAGTCCTCACCTTTCCAGCACCATGCCAAGTGGGGATGGAGACTTGAGGAAATCAAACAAGAATGCAAGCTCAGGTGAAGCTTGGACACTACATTGAACAGAGGTACTTCTTCGTCTTGAATATGTTCTTTCAATAAGACGTACAGTTGGCCGCAGGATTGCTGCTTGGAAATCACAAGCGCGGCTTGCTCTGCTGGCAGAGCGTAGTACCCATAAGCAGGCGAGAAACGGTCAAAAATCTCGTCTACTTCGACGTTCAGCGCCAAGAGGAGCTCAATCTGCCGGTGGACTTTGATGGACCTGTTCATAAACTTACGCCATAATGCCAGGATGCATGGGCACAAAGATCGCAGCTGACCAGCCTTACCTCGAAGCTTCGGAAAGCCCTTTGCGCGCACAAAAATGGAAAGCTTCCGGAACGCAGATACTGGAAACTTGTTCGGGGTTGCGCGGCGAGACTGGAACGTGTGGATGAAGAGACCAACGCGATGCAAGTTTGCGAGTGGGTTCAATGGCAAAATTTGATGTGTAAGCATATATAGCACCGACCCAAAAAGAAATTGAACGTAGCCCAGGAACTTGCAGTGCATATAGTCTGGCGCTACAGAAAGGCCTGACACTCCAGGAAGGTCAAATAACGGGCATTGGGACCGCCTTTCATCGTGCGACCAGGAATCAGCTGAAAAAATTGTAGACCGCCAGGGGGCTTCCTCGCGAAAATCGAGATAGGTAAGTGGTCCTTTCGCACTCGCCTCGCAGAAGCCGCAAGGCCGAGTCGCAGAAGCCCAGTGCGGCTGCTGCAGAAATTTTGCCATATAGTCTTGATCGCCAGCAAGGCTCACCAGACAAGCGAAAAACCTCCTGCCAGAGGCTGGCCAGCTTTGGCATGTTCTGGGGTGCCCGGAGCATAGTAGATTCCTCTGTGGTCTTTTGCCGGCCACGCGCCGGCAAACAGAATTGCAAGCGACCAAGAGAGCACTTCCCTTGTATGGTTCCACCAACTCCTTCCTTGAAGAGGTGTGGCACACATGCCCATATCCAGAACAGACTGTTCAGGGTAGGTTTTGCGTGGGCTAAGACTGAATACCAACTGAACACAATACTGCATTTACACCAACATTTGCCTCTTCCTACGACCGGCACCTCGTCTCCATGTATGCTGATGGGTATACATCTCCGTTGGTAGTTTTGTCTCTCAAACACTGGATGCTCTTGCAAACTGGGGCGCCGAGCTGCACTGAGACCAGAACCGTTGCAAAGCGCTGGTTCCGCCAGGGGTCAACAGGTTGTGAAATGCGTCCTGGTAGTCCTCATACATTGAAGCAAAAAGCGTATGCGGTAAAAGGAGCCCTGCTTCTGCTTCAGTTGTGGCAGTAGGAATTGTGATCGCAGTGGGTGGCGGGGTCTTGGGCTTGCTCTTCAACTGCCTCCAAAGGTCTCTGTGCATATTGTTTGTTAGGCGCCCGTTGCGTCCTATACTGGCCAAGCGTTTGAGCTGCGGCAAGCAGGCAACCCCTTGCTCGACGTCGCGGGCCGCTAGGTCTGCGAACTTTTGGAGTTGCGCAGGGCTCATGCGACCCCAGGCAAACTCAGTGATCAAAAATGTAGCCAGAAAAGACTGGGCAGCTACTGCTGCTGGACCTTCATTGGCAGCTGCCAGCCGTTGATGTAGGCCTCCTTTTCGCTTCATGTGAGAGAAGGCGACACTTGTGCTTGAAAATTTTAGACTCATGTAAAACGCAAGGCTGCTTGAGAGAAGAATGCTGATTGTAACACCTGAGACAGTACCCAATTCGTTATGAACCGCTGAAGAAACATTTGTAGTTTGCTGAACCAGAACATGCGTTGGCAATAGCTAAGCTAGATTGTGGCAACATGTGAAAACCGTCAACTGACCCATTGAAAAAAACCTCCGAAACTCGTTCGAGCATACAAAGCACGCGTGCGTCACAGCGAAAGCACAGACTGCAAGCAAGAGTCCCTCTCAAGGTCAGCTCTAGCACTCACATGTAACATCACGCCAAGAGTACCTCTCAAGGTCAGCTCTAGCACTCACATGTAACATCATGCCAAGAGTACCTCTCAAGGTCAGCTCTAGCACTCACATGTAACATCATGCCAAGAGTACCTCTCAAGGTCAGCTCTAGCACTCATGTAACATCACGCCAAGAGTACCTCTCAAGGTCAGCTCTAGCACTCATGTAACATCATGCCAAGAGTACCTCTCAACGGTCAGCTCCAGCACTCATGTAACATTATGCCAAGAGTACCTCTCAAGGTCACAGCTCTAGCACTCATGTAACATCATGCCAAGAGTACCTCTCAAGCACAGCTCTAGCACTCATGTAACATCATGCATACAGGATTCCACGATCTTTTCTCGCACGCCAAGCAAGCTGTTCTCAAAATCTTGCATGTTTCACACGGTCCTACGCACGTATGGCTTTGCATTGCGTTTTCCCAGATCATGATTCGGGGCAACTCCATGTTTGCATTCCACTCACAACTGTTTGGGTTGGGCGAGTTGCCACGCTCAGTATGCAAGTATATCATCGCTCAAACAACTTGCCCCCACGCAATGCGCCAGCCAAAAGCACACTATGCCCGGGAGCGCAACTGGGCCTGCACGCCGCACAATTGCTCATAGCAGCCGGTGGTGACGTTGCCCCAGTGCGTCATGGCCTTGGTGAACTTCGCCCCCGTGATCTCATCTCCATGAGGTAGCTCGCCCCAATTCTTGACTGAAAGATACAATCATGAACGCAACAAGAAACAAGGTTCGAATAAAACAAAGCTTCTAAAACATTAAGTTTTCAAACAAAGGACAGAATGGGCCACACGGGGTCGTCCTTCGTCGTGATCTGCGACGCGCACTTGCGCGTCTCCTTGAGCAGCTTGTCCATAGCATTGACGGCAACTGACAGGCGGGGGCGAACTTTCTGGAGCTCATCCGGCCCGAACTTGCGATCGGCGTCCTTGATGGCCAGCCTTGTGTGTTGAGGTCACGTGCAGCAAGGATAGTTTTGCTGCAGTCCCTCACGCACGTATAACTCTTTGGAATCAGGCAGAAGCCTCGCTCAAGAAACGCAGAGTGACTTTGTTCGTGACAGAACTGCCATGGAGAGCGCATGAGGGCACATGAGGGCACACGAGGGCACAGCAGATGAGAGAGTTCATGAGAGCACTTCTGAGAGTTCAAGCAAAGTTCATGAGAGCACATGAGAGTGTTCATGAGAGCACTTGTGAGAGTTCAAGCAAAGCTCATGAGAGCACATGAGAGGGTTTCTTCAAACGCATGAGAACATATGAGCACAAGCAGCACACAAGCTCTCAAGGCCAACATTGTTTCCCTTGAAGACTGGTGCTGAAACACAAACAATCAAACTGAGACAGTCTCTCACGCACGCAAAGAAGATGGAAGCACCTTGCAAGACAAGAGGCATGCCTTGGTTTGAGGACGATGCGCCCGAGTCCGCGTCGTTGACATCCGGGCTCAGCTTGGACCAGATGCTGTCAAAGATGGAGCCAGTCTCTGCGGAGAGCTCCAGCACGTCGGACGCCATGGTCTCCGCGTTGTTTTTTTTCGCCGACGTGTTCAGCTCCACGTTGACAACCGCGTACATGGTCTTTCCGTTCGTCGTGAACGTCATGACGTCTCCCGCGTCGATGGCCGCTTGCAAGTCATCGTCCGTGTCGAAGCGGTACATCCTCATGAAGACTGTCTTGCCAAACCCAGACTGGCGGTCGGTAGCCGTCTCTGTCCGCTCAACGGTCCTGGCGTGGAAAAGCCGTCAGAAACAGTCTCTCCAAGAAAAGGCCAACATGCCCTGTCATGTTCCGTAAGTCTGCTATATGTGGCAGGCCGGACAAAGTCGGCCTTGACTTGCAGGCGGCCGCCAACCTTCTCGAAAAGGTTGTTGATCAGAGCGCTCTGGGCCTTGCGGGCCCAGACTTCTGCCACTCGGACAGGACCGCCTCGGGCAGAGAGCCCCCTCGCATGAGCTGGAAGAAGCGCGCCGCTTTGGAGCGGTCCCGAGACTCCTCGGCGCCCTCGGCTACCTCAACTTCCTCCTCGGGGATGGAAGGGTCAGCGGGAGCCGCAGAGGCGGGCTCTCCGGCAAAAACAGCAGCAAGCTTTTGCTTTTTGCCCAGCGGCTTGGGCTTGGGCTCCCCTTTCACTTTCGCCTGGGGCTTTGGAGCGCTCTTAGCCGCTTTGGGCTTTGGAGCGCTCTTAGCCGCTTTGGGCTTTGAGGCTTCAGCAGCCTGACTGGCTGGGCGCTTCATGAGGGAAGAGCTCTTGGCGGCTGCAGGTCTTTTGCAAGGCTGAGGCTCTTTGAGGACATCATCCGGAGCATCCTGCCCGAGCTGCATGGTCTCCTGGCTCAAAGACACACCATCTGGCCCATCAGGCTGGGTGTCTTCGGGGGCACTCATTGCAAGGCAGGTGCCAGGAAGTACTTGAGCGCCCAAGTTCCTGATGCAAAGGCGTCAAGTAGCAAGCATGGACGTGTCGCACCAACATGAGTGTCAGACGCACTTGCGGCAAACCGCAACAACTCTCACACGCGCATGAACCCCTCCACACAATGATATGCTACACAAAAGCAACAACCATCAAACAAGCACCTGAAATGTTTCCTACATGCTCTGCATACATATGCCTCACATGAACCACTCACGTACTTGCAGCATGAATCTCTCAGGCAACATGGATCTCATCTCTTTGCGCATCCATGGCAAGAAAGCTACAATAGCTTATGGCTGTGCCACTTGAGAACCATTGTAGTTGAACTACATAACAACTCAAATTGGTTACACAGATTTTGAACTTAATAGGATTGAGTGAAAGCAATGTGGAGCAATCTGAGTTGACACGGCCTGCAAAGGTTCTAAAAGTGCAATATTATCATTGCAGTTTGCATTTTTCATATTGCACTTTGCAATGTTCATCATTGCAAAGTGCAATGTTCATATTGCAGTTTGCAATGTTGATATTGCACTTTCAACAAGGAACATTGCACTTTGCAATGAAAACATTGCACTTTTATATTCTGTCATTGCAAACTGCATTGTTATATTGCAAAGTGCAATGTTCCTTGTTGAAAGTGCAATATCAACATTGCAAACTGCAATATGAACATTGCACTTTGCAATGATGAACAATGCAAAGTGCAATATGAAAAATCGCAAACTGCAATGAAAACATTGCATTTTGCAATGTCGATTCATTGTAGTTGTCAATCGTTCCAATGCGATGAGGACAAAAGTTCCACAAAAGTTCATGACCTGAGCGCGTGATTCTAGCTCCCCTGATTCTGTCTGACCGTAGACAATGTGCATTGGCTTCTCATGTGTTGCTCAGCATTTGGGGGCGGCTACTCTTTACTTAACCAATTGCAATTCGAATGTGTACTCTCAAGCACTCTCAATCTCTCTCAGGCAGATGTGTAACATGACACAAGCGCACATGTTTCCTCCTCTTTTTCATCCAATCTATAACTTCAACCCAAAGCGGCGGTACTCGCCTCGCTTCAATCGAACCAGCAGCATATTAACGGCAAAATCGTGCCAGTCAATGGCCATGCCAGCATCGAGCCACTCATCGTAGAGGGAGCTTCTGATCGCTGCCATCTTCATCGCGCGGCAGATGGTGGACATCTCAAGCGATGTCAGCTTGCGGCCCTTCTTCGCCTTCGTTGTCTTGATTGCCTTCATGGCCTTCATGGCCTTCATGGCCTTCATGGCCTTCATGGCCTTCATGGACTTGACCTTTGTGGATGAAGAAGCGCGCTGGATGGCCGACTTCATGTTCACTGCCTGAGAGCCACAGGTGATGCACAATGAGGGCATTGACAATTGATTTAGGAGGCTGGGGATCTAGAACTAACACTTGAGAGTTTTTGTATGAGAGTCATGCTTGAGAGGAATGCTTGAGTGTCTGCCTTAACCAAATCTAGTTTTGGAGCTGGAATATTTTTTTCAGGGAGGGATGGCGCCTTGAAGGTCTTCATGACTTTCATGGCCTTCTTCGGTGACATGGCTGGTCGGCAAACTGCAAGATCGCAAGACATGTGTTTGAGTCAGAGCAACTCATCCCACAGCACATGCGGCACTCGTATGGCTTGACAAGGTTTTCAATCCAAGAAGTCCCAAGCTCTCTCAAGCACAAGTCTCTCAAGAAAGGCTGGCTGAGAACAAAACAACACAAATGCTCTCAGGCACAACTCTCTCAAGCGCAACTCTCTCACGCACATCAAAGCAGAAGGTACAGATGGCTCAACCATGTCATCAATTGTATCGAGACTCAAACACAAATGTACCATGTGCAAAAAATACTCAGACCGTTAAGCATTGTTTTGACGCCGAGCCGTCCCAAGATCGAAGAGCCGCTACGTAGGCAGCGTAAATTCCGGCTTCTCGCTTTGCGAGAAGCAAAACCTGAGGGATGTGCTTTTGGGAGCCAAAAAATCGCTTATCAAGACAGCTGTCAACGTATTTTGAAAGCAAAAGAAAAGCTCAAAGATGTCTCACAGACGAGTTGCTGGCCTCCACAAAGTCGAAGATCATCTCCTGAAGCAAAGAACGTCCTGTGACGCAAACCTTTATTTGGAGGGTAACATGCTGTTGACCTTTACATGGAAAAGACCTTTACATGGAAAATGATTTGAATCGTTGTTGGCCTCCCGACCAGAGGCAAGCTTAGCGACGCCGCCGCGCGGCATTCGCTTTCGCTGCGATCCGCCTCCGCCTGCGCCTCCTCCGCGGACGCACCGGCGCTGCAGCCGCCAACCCCAACGAACGAGGCGAGGCCGCCGGGTCAGCAGGCGAGGTAGGCGAAGGAGCCTGCGCCACGAGAAAAATGTGCGTTTTACTGAAAATGATTGACACCAACGAATTTGGTGCTGCAACATGTTTGACACCCAAGCCTCCTCACTCAAATCCTCCTCTTTCCAATCCTTCCAATCCACCTCTTTCCAATCCTCCTCTTTCCAATCCTCCCCTTTCCAATTCTCTCCTTTCCAATCCTCCCCCCCTTTCCAATCCTCTCCTTTCCAATCCTCTCCTTTCCAATCCTCCCCCCAATCCTCCAAACTCTCCTCGCCCGGCTGGTATGGATCCCAGCTGGCCGGCTCCGGGCTGCGTTGGCGCTTCCAAGGCGGCTCCGCAGGCTCCGGGATATCGCCTTGCGAGAGCAGCTGCGCTAGAGCTTGACGAAGCTTCTTGGACAGGAGCTTGCTGTTAGGAGCAAGGACTGCCAGATCATAACACAAGCCAGCAAGTTTCACCATGAACTCAGCATCGGGTCTTGACTTCCATGCCAAAGTTCTGCCATTGTTCGGGGACACAATCGAGGCAAGGTCTGAAGTCCCTTTGAACATGCAGAAGTTTCTCACTGCCGAAACTAAATCCCCAACCCCAATGGACGGGTCAGCAACCAAGCGAGGCCGTTGCTTGTCCACTTTGTCCTTGGCATTGATCTTAGCCAAATCTGCTTCCACCAGCGCAGCTAACTGCGCCATCGCTAGAACAACTGCAAGCAAGGTATGTTTGCGCCGAAACTGCTTGAGAGTTTGCGTGAGAGTCACATGTGCATGAGAGTCACACACCTGAGAGACCATTATTTTTGCTCCCAAAACAATTAATTGTTGAGGGCCACGTGTGCAGGTTATTCCCTTGAAGCAGTTCACAAGTTCAAGCATCTCTCAAGCACAAGCTCACATTTCTCAAGCACAAGCTCGCTCGCCCTCCAGCACCTCTCAAGCACAAATTCATATCCGGAACACGCCACAGCACCAAAAAACAGTTGCACATGCACGCACACAAACCAATCAAAACATCTTCTGATGGCATGCAAAATGTCAATTTGACAAAATCTCAAACAAGGACATATAACTGCGACCGTCGGCCAACTATTGCTGAAGATGTCGTGTCAGCTCAAGCCAGGCAGGGGCCCCAAAACATAGATCCTTTTTCAGAAACTTGACAGCTTCAGACTCGCCGTGATGCAAACCTGCCCTGTCTTTCCATGAGAGAAGACAACGTTTTTTAGCAAAACTGCGCTTGACACTGCAATGCGGAATTTTTTGCAAAAACATGAACATTGCAGTTTGCAATCGCCATATTGCAGTTTGCAATCGCTATATTGCAGTTTGACATGTTTATATTGCAGTTTGCGTTTTGTACATTTTTTTAGTCTCGGTGGCCGCGACTAAATTTACTCCCCAACGGGGCTAATTTACTCCCATGGCTCCGGGAGTAAATTTAGCCGCGCGAGTCTAATTTCTTCCGCGGCTATTTTTAGACTCGATGGATCTATTAGGTAGGCCGACCCGACGAGGCCTGGCAGAAGGAGCAGCAGCCCTTGCGCCCACGGCGGGCGAGGTTGCTGGAACGCTGGCTGCCACGGCAGGAGTCGGCGCAGCGGCGACGGCAGGGTTGGCTGTGGGACTCGCAGGCGGCGCAGCCTACGGCCTGGCCCGCGGCACGGGCTGGGTGCTGGCAGCAGCACTTCAGGCAGCCCCGCAAGCAGCCGCGCCTCCTCGCAGTCTGGCTTCAGAGTCCAGGCGCAGGCCACACGCCGCGCCCCTTCTCCTGGGGCCTGAACCCAGTGACTCTGCCTCAGTCCCAGCCGAACTCCCGGGCAAGCTCCCGCAGCTCAGGACGCCAGAGCCGCCTGCCTCCGCCGAGCTATGACCAGCTGGCCCGAGTCGAGGCGGCCTAGACTCTCCTTCGCCGTACGAGCGAAAATGAGTGTTGCGCTACATGTAAAGAAGCATGGAGGTAGTCACAGCCGGAGCACAGGATGAGTTGATGCAGAGCCTGGACTACAAGCTGAAAACCAGCAACACCAACTACGTGACCGCACGGCACGACGTGCAGTGTTTCCCCAGCTCGCTGAGCTCCTTCTCCCCCGCCACCTCGAGGGTCTGCCGCATTCCGCTGACCAGCGGCACCTCGTTCATCGACCCCGAGTCTATCAAGATCGCCTTCAGAGTCAGAAACACGGACGCCACCAACCCGCTGGCGCCTGCCACTCCGAACCCCGCCTGTTTCATCCAGAGGATCCAGGTCTTCGCCAACGGCCAGCGCTGCGACGACATTAACTACCGGCCGCACCGTGGCCGCGCATGACCTGCTGAAGGGCCGCGAGTACAACCAGAACAAGGCCGTGGAGGGCTTCGACGAGGTGACGCCCCGCGCGGTGCACCAGAGCGGCTGCGCTGGTAGAGTCCTTCAACCGCGTGTTCCTCTCAGGAAGGTCGCTTGTGTTCAGCTACCCCACGGTGCACACGCAGCAGTCCACGGCGCCTCCGGGCGTGGCGGAGCACAACGTCACCGTGGCGCGTCATGGGAGCGTTCGTGACCTTCTGGGGCAACGATGCGGGCTCTAAGATCC